ATATTTAAAAATAAAATTCTAGTTTTTGTATATTTTTTCTGTTTCTATTTATGAAAGAACTGTAGAAATGTCTTAGAATTAAAATCAATAATTCCCTTTTTCCTCAGATAACGGCTTTTGAACAGTGACCAGTACAAAGCACTTCTTCGACGATATCTCCATATGATAGTGTAACTCATACGACTCTAGAAAAAATTCCACAACTTCAATTGAAATTAACGTAGTTGCTCAAGACGGTGGCAAAAAGTTGACCTGCAGGGCTTCAAATCCTTGGTTCAATGGAGCAATTATAGAAGATACCAGGACCATAGTTGTCGCATGTAAATAACATTTACTAGTTAGTTAGATACAGGTCAATAAAAACTCAATTAATAGAATGTGATTCAATTTCTGGAGATACCCAATCTTCGAATTTTTTGTATATACATAGACATTTCATGTCCTAATTGTTACTTGTTTTAATAAATATTGTGTCATGGATAACAATAAGTTTAATTGATTAACTAGATGCGCCAATAGTAAGTCTGCAATTGACGGATAGCAAAGTAAGACAAGGAGAGTCCTTAGACCCAATGAGACCTCAACCATTGTTGGTAGAAGGTGGATATGCAGAATTACATTGTCAAACCCAAGCTCATCCACCTGTCCATACATATGTATGGTTTAAAGATGTAAGTCTTATTAGTACTATTGTTTAAATTAACTATATTTAAAGTTTGTTCTGTAATCTGGATCATACTATCTTAGAACGGTGTACTTATTCCGGAAAAGGTTGGAATGTTTTCCGATAAATCCATTTTAAGGATTCCATCAGTTGGCAAAGAAACCGCCGGCGTTTACGTTTGTGGGGCTACAAATTCGAAGGTGATGCTAGAAGTGCACCAGTTACAGTGAAAGTACAATGTAAGGACAATATCTGTTTTAATAAAAAATATGGCAAGTTTTGGTTTATATTTGATTTTTATTTTTGTAGATTCTCCGCGTTGTAAAAGTGGATTTGAAGAAAAAAGCGTCGGTGCTTTGAGAAATGGTACTTTAACAGTTCGTTGTGAAATTGAAGCTGATCCGTTGGATGATTCAGTAAAATTCAGTTGGACTTATAATAACACTAAGGATGTGCTCCCGGTAAGTCTTAGAATATGGAAAAAAATCGATCAGTTTTGTAGAACTTAATATTACAATGTTCCAATATTACAAGATCGATTTATTTTTTAGGTTCCCAGTTCAAGAGTGTCTTCCTTAGGAGGAATTTACAGCTTCAGTATACTCCTGTATCAAATAATGATTTTGGTACTTTGGCTTGGGCTAGCAACAGGGCTGGACGTCAAAAAATTCCATGTCTTTTCCACGTTGTTCCAGCAAGTACGGAAAATTATTCATTCAAGTTGTGATATCATTACCTACTATAATAATACCTACTTTTATAGAAGTGCCGCAACCTCCAGGAAATTGTATCTTATCCGAGCAAACTGGATCTTTGGATTAACTTGCACTCCAGGATTTGACGGTGGTCTTCATCAGCATTTTCTGTTAGAAGTTATATCTGCTGCAAACATGAAGGGATGTCAGCATCATCTTCCTCGTCGTTATCAACAGTTACTACTAGGAGACATCCAGCGGACGCCGATAATGAAATTTCAACGATGAATGATCAGGTGAACTTTCTGAATATAATTAATGGTATATTCTAAATGTAAGCCAAAATTTTAAATATAAAATAAAAAAAACTGTTATTAATGTAGAGTGAAACGCCAGCATTATACCGGATGACTGAGACGGACCCACACTTCCGAGTACGTGGTCTTCTTCCAGGAAGAGATTACCAATTACTGGTCTGGGGCAGTTAATGCACAGGGTCGAAGTGAACCACCTGTAATAATAGAAAGAGTGCGAGTTGCTTTGCCAATGAGCCACGTTGGGGCTCTTTCTGAAGGTCCTAGTGATGTTGGCCAAACTTTACCTGCCAACACTGGTCAGGCAACTAATGGTGCAGGAAATATTATCAGTGGCGGCGGTTAAAGCATCACATAAATCGGTTGCAGTGGTGAGTTTGGCGTTAGACAAATTTTGAAAAACAAAGCTTGCAATTTCAATCGGCTGTAAAAAATAAAGTTATGGAATTAATATATGATATACAATTTTCTTATTTTTGTACAAATAACTTTTGTTCATATCCCAATTTACTTATTTTTACTGACTATCGCTGATTTTTACAGATTCTAGGGGCCTTGATCAGTGCTGCTGGCCTTATACTATCTGCAATACTTTTTGCAACTATATTGGTGTTTGCAAGAAACGAAATGTTGCCAACGAAGAAATTCGAATTCCTGAAGAGCAACTACAATCCAGTTCTAGGTAAAGTTTTACAGTCTAAAAATATTAAACAAATAGGATTATTATTTCATACTTGATGTTGCTTTAGGCCACGAACTGAAGGCCCGTCAATGTACAGCGGCGAAATGGAATCGTCCAGTGCCGAATTGGATATCCTATACACAAAAACCTGCAGAAATTACTATTACACCGCTCAGAAACAGCAGAGCTAGTAGACAATTACCCGATAGCATAGTTCGATTTCACAACCTTCAATGAATGGTGAGATTCAATTAATTGATTAAGTACAATTAAACAAAAAAATTAAAATCTTACCAGTATTATCAAAATAAATCATAATTGTATAATAGGCTTAGCTGGAAATTAATCATGATCTTACAATTCCTACATATGAAAATATTAATATTATAGGCTATTAATATCAATATCTTTGACTTCAGAATTTTGTTTCAGAACCTGATCTAATCCTAGCTCGAAGCGTTGATCCTGGTTTCGTTAGGACATGACCTTAAAAAAATTGTCTATCGGATTTTGTTATATTCTTTAATAGTTTCAAATGCTTGAAATATGTGTATCAAAAACAAAAATTATATTTTTAATTATTATTATTACTATGTAATAAAAAAAAAATTCCATACTTATAAATAAAATAATAAATGATTATATAAATTAAATAAATAATATACGGTATTTGTAAAAATTACTTTTCTATAAATATTTTCTTAGGTTAAGGCACATTATAGTATATAAGTGAGCTTTAGAACTTTAGCAAGAATTAAAATTAAAATCTGAATTATTTTCGATATACAAAAAAGTTTCTTTGAAATAAAAAATTTTGCAATATTTTTTCGATTTCTAATTATCCCTATCAATAGGAATCGAATGTTTTTTGAACCATTCAAATCGGTTGATCCGTGCGCCCGAAAACTTGAACGAAAAAATGCGGACACACAAAACACACACACATAATACATATATTCATTTTTTCTGAGGTATGCCAAAATGTTCAGAAACTTCAGAACGTCGAGAAATGCAAAAATTTTCAATTTCGATTTTTGGACGATTACAATAACTTACCCTGCGGGTAGTTAAAAAAAACTTTTTGTTTAAATTCCTACACTAGAAGGAAGTAAGATGGGGTAAGATTTATATACCACATAAAAATAAATCGAACAAAACAATCGTGCAAAATTAAAATCGCATAAAACCATTTAATAAAATCACACAAAAACTGATTTTATTAACTTTCCGTAGGGTTATAGTAATCGCAAAAAAAAATCGAAAATGAAAACTTTTGCCTATCTTACATTTCAAAACACGGGAAGTTCCAGCAATTTTCCTTAAAGCA